CACCAGCTGGCCAAGTTGTACGTGCTGCAGCACATACTGGGACAGTCATTCAATTTTACATTTACTTTCAAGTTGGATTTAAAGACATTTCCTATTTAAAAGCAAATGAAATTTAAGCACATCTATTACTAAGAGTGAATAGAATAAAAAGTAGTTGAGTTTTACTGTATTAGCAGTTCAAATCTGGGGGGGTTGATCTTGTGTTTTAAAACCTACTAAAAAGCATGATTCTACTTTTGCAGCCAGTTCTTTTCACAAGCCTTCTAAAGCCTGCTCTGCAGCCCCTACTGACACACAGCAGGATCTCAGGCCCTGTCCTGGGCATTGGGGGCTATATCCAAACTGACAGTTCTAGAAAACTATCAAATAAAGATTTATAGTCACCTCTTCTAGTTCATAGACAAAGAACATAAAAAAATACTACTTTAACAACTCCAATTTAGGGCTAAATTTATCCAAACTAAAATTATGAGAATGTTGCTATCAAATTCAGAAGAAATACAATCAAATCAGACAGTACTATCTTCAAACTTGGTTGACACCATCTCTGTACAGAGATGTCTATCCTGACACCATTCCAGTGCAAGAAAAAATATGGAAAAATTAAGTATAGTCAGATAGTTCATGCCCCAACAGAAAAGACCTGTCAAATTGAATCACTGTTAGAGGAGAAAGTCAGTGGAGCATGTACACAGGATCTGAAAGTACTGGAAGAGAAACACTTTGCTGGAAATGGATGATACCAGCAGGGCTAAAACATAACCTCATACCTGTATGTTGGGTCATATTCAGCCATGCATAAAGTTTGGTTTGGAACAAAACAACCAGGAGGAGAAGAATTATGATTAACCTTTGCAACCAAAAAAAAAAACCAAACCACCACAAAAAGACCCCAATTATCCTACTTTTTGCTATAATCCACATTCTAAATGTTAGCTAGGCTTCAAAGCAGACTTGGAAAGCACCAACCATTGGCAATAACAGCAATTCATCCCATGCAAACCTCTCACAAAACAGTTTCACAGCATGAGCAACTCCTAAAATTACCAGCTTTGAGTGATATCCTGAAATTTTCAAAATCCACCACACTGTGACAGTCATGCAATTACCAGCAGGGATTATACCAGCAAGACTGGCAGAGACACACTAGAAAAACAGAAACCTTGCATGTTTTAATCATAAAAAGGAATCAGCTTTTCTTTTCCTCCTACCCAACATACATGCATTGTTAGTCTTTATCACTAAGAGCAGCCTTCAGTCTAGTCCAAATATTCCCGTTCTCCAAGGATGTTACTGGAAAGAATTGTTTTCTTCCTTTCAGTCCACAGAGCAACTGTTTTCCTTACAGCTCTTTGAATGATAAGAGACCAAATGAACTATCCCACAGTTATGAAAATAATGAGCTAGGCCTTCAGAGCGAGACTGGGTTGACTTTGGAGAGCACATGCTGTTCCCTTTCATGGCCGTACAGCAGCTCCTGGGACAGCACTGCCACTTTGAAGTGTTTAATTAGGAATGGGAGGATGCCTTTAAAGCAACAATACTTCTCACAAGAGAACCTTCATCACCTTCTAGACACATGCTTAATAAAAGTACTGTAAAAACAGTGTATCAATGGTTTTCAGCTTTGTTTTGCATTCTGCTCTTTCTAATTCAAACCAGAAAGGGCCTTACCTACCCTTTCCAACAAAATAAGCTGGTCTAATAAAAGACATTACTTCCACCCATGGAGCTCATTTTACCTGAAACTAAGTATTACTCAAGATTTAGAGGTTTTATCTGTTTTGCTATTTATTCCTTTACCCTGTTATTGCCTTTTAAACTGATAGCTGTACACAGCTGTAAAACTGCAATGACAAACTCCAAAGTTAGTCTGGAATCAGCTACTTGGTCTTCATAGCAGTGTCCTTAAACCCATCCAGTGTTTATTTGCATATAAAATATTTCAGCTATGTATACTCCTTACAGTCTTTAGGTTCACATATTGCCTTTACACAAAGAATTACTGCAGAAGTGTAGCGTTGTTTTTAAAATACTATTTGCAAGTGCCCATAAATTTGGCTTTTAATTTAAAAACACTGCTCACATATATACCAACTTCTCTTGTCCACTGCAAACCACAGCTTTCTAGAAAAGCTGTATTCCTCCTGCTAAGTTTGCATCTTCATTGCTGCTTCCTGCCCCTTTGCTGCCTTAGTAACAGTCTTCACATTGTCTTCCAGAAATGCCTTTTTCTAACATGCTTTATTTTTACCCATTTCACATCAGTAAATGTATCAGACAGAAAGAAAGGGAACAGCTATGGGAAATGGGTTTGGAAACTCGGGAAATAGCAATGCATTGGTTTACACTTTGATATTATCTTCAGAGTCATAAAAGCAAGGACCTTTTTTTCCTGTAGTAGTTTAAAATACTGAAGAACTTGTTAGGTGAGCTCCAAAGTGCTGGCCAGTCTGTGAAAAGGATTCCACCACCTGGTACTATGCAAAACTGTCACATATACCAGAGCATTTTCAACCCCTTGAAGCCACATCAACATCACAGGAAAAAATTATGCAGCTTATATGTCATATTTTAATCTATATGCCATAACTTAATCTTCAAAGCTTATTAGATTGGAAAATAAATCACAAGCACTGAGACTACTTATTACAACAATCAAAAGTAAATTCTGCTGTATTATGTATGATAACTAAACAATATAAGGATGTTCCAGGAAAGAAAGTCAAGTCTAGGACTACGGTTTTACCTCCACTGAAGATAAAAGGGTAAGATCTCAGCTGATTTAATGCAATTCAAGTTAGTCCTGCCTTCTGACAGGGATGCAGTTCTGATTAAGAGGAGGAACAAAAGAAACGAGGAAAAGCAACCTCATAACCAGATGCTATTCCCAGGGAAAACTGGTTGGGAATATATTTGTATAAATAGAAAAAAAATGTGTTTCTGCTATAAAAAGCTACCTTTTAGGTAAGGATTTCTCAAACCATGCTGTACTTAAACAACGTTTTAGCCATGTTTGATGCCAATGCTGTAAACATGATTGTATCTGCAGCATGAGTGGTATCTGCAAGACAAGAGGAGCGAAAGGAACTTCCTGAGCACTGCACATGCCCAGCCCAGCACATGGTTTGCTATAAATATCTAAGTAACCCTCTGTAGGGCCAGATCATGCATGCAGAGGAGTACAATAATGCAGCTTTAATAGAGAAGGGAACATTTGATGATTAACTATTTAAATCATGCATTTAATACATTTTAAATGCAACTTAATTATTGGCTGAGACATCAGCAGGGGAAAAAGAGTTGTCATTCTTTATAGTCCATCTCTATTGCCAATTTTGTCTGGTTTTAAATTAAATTCTAACTACCCCTCTGTTGACTATGACCAACTGCTTTTAGTAATGGTGTTGATCTGCACCAGCACAGCAGATACCTGGCAGTAACAGAACAACCAGGCACACAAGGATTACTGCTTTTAATACTTGTTTCTGTAAAAGCCAAAAGCTACTTAAAAATTCTTTTATCTCAACTTATCTTCTTTTTGAAAGAAAAGGAAATGTGTAGCCAAGTGATAAAATAATGTGTTCCCATGTTTAATGATAGTAGGAAAACAAACTTACAGTCTGGTTTTAGATATCTGCGTGCTGATGAGAAATTTAATTAACTGTAAAAATAAAACAGTGTAAGTTGTAGCACACCCCCTCTCCCAAACTCCTTTGTGCAAGAGATTAAGTAGATGTAAAATCAGAACCCTGAACAAGAAACACAGGAACATGCTGTTCTTTTATCCATCGTTTTAACCATGCTTTTGAGACATCCATTTAGCATCACAAATACTACTCCTATATTTACATATCAACATTTGAAATGCATATTGTACTATATGCTTTTCCCTGGCTGGGAAATTCTTGGAACAGTCACAGAAGTAAAGTCTATGAAGAGAAAGAAGGGTTGAGAGGAGATGTCTACCTAAGATTAAATTTCCAAGAAAAGGCAGCAAGAATAAATGTTGTAGAGTTTTGATAAAAAATTTAAGTATAGAAAAACATCACCTTGCCAGTAACACCTAGCAGAACTCCTAACTCAAAACATGTCCATATGTTTTCCTGATTAAAAACTCATAAGCACTAACCATTAGGGAAAGTGTTTGAGGACCAGAAAGCTCAAAATATTCCTGATGCATCTCCAAGAAGTGATAAAAATTGAGTGGTTTTGACAGTTCTAGGCATGTCCTTTTTATTTTGCTACCACCATAAAAAAATACCTCTTATATATTAGTGTACTCTAGTTACTTACAGAGCTAGAAAAAACAATATGCTTTTCTGATGGACTTAGTTTTCTTTAGGTCCAGGATCATCAAAGCCTTAGTTTAGCCAAAACATTGCAAATCAGGCTGAGGAGACCTTCTGGACCTTCCCAGCAAGCAGCCTGTCAGACAAACATGCAGTGCTCAGAAAGAAGCAACAGATCTGCTGATACTCAGATATAAGATTTAAGTTCTGGCTAAGCAGATAAAGCACACTGCTTCCTCAACGACTTACCATTTTTAAAGCCTTTTTTTTTTTTTCAAATTTAAATCAGACATGCCATCCAGTTCTCTTTTGTGAAAAAAGAAACGCACGTCGGTAGCAGTGGGAAACTCGCAGGTCCTACAGCTGCTACACGAGAAGGCCTGAGAGGGATTAGTGTCATCGCGTTCACGGCAGCAGCTGTGAAGCTCAGCACATGCGGGGCAGTCGAAAGGCCGAGGCTTCAGCCGTTTCCCTTTTAGCTCACGATTTTATCTCCCTTTGTTAAAGCCCCCCGGGGGCGCTGCTTTGGAGGAGCGGGATGTGGAGCGGGGCTGGGCGGTGGGGCAGCCCCACGGAGCCCCGGTACTCCGAGTTCCCTGCCCAGACCCCCCATCCCCAGACCCCTATTTTTAACCCCTTTCAGCGGAGCCGCCCCCCTGCAGCCCCCGACCCCCTCCCTGCTCCCTGCGCTGCCTCCTCCCCGCTCACCTCCCCCGGCCGCCGGGGCTCCCGCAGCGCCGCGTCCGCCGCACCTGCCCCTTTTCGGGCTGCAACCGTGTCTTTTCCGTCAAGGCAACATCACTTCCCGTAAGGCCCGAGGTAGGGGCGGGCGGGGGCCGGGCAGCACCGCCCCGGCGTGTCCCGGCCCCGCTCCCCCCGCCGCGGGCACCTGGGCGGGCGCGGCCCCGGGGCAGAGCCGGCGATGCTCGTCTGTCATTAACCGGGCTGGCCGCTCAGCCCTTCTCCTCCGCCTCGCTTTTCTGGAAGATCTTGCGCCGTTTTAATAAAAATTCATGAGAGGCAAAGCAGGTTTTAGAGAGAAAATGCGCGGTGCCTGGTTAATGCCCACCGCTGCGGGTTTAGTGAGTTTTTCCTGCCGCCTGCTGGCTGCCTGTCTGGCAAGAGTCCTCTCCGCTCTCTTTAAATCCAGCAGTCTCAAGAATCCAGCAAGCACAGTCTTAAGCTCAGTTGCATCAATAGCCCTTTCCATCTGCGCCAGATACCCTCTTTCCTAAGCCTTTTCAAAATCAATTGCCACCTTTATGGACAATTCCAGCAATTATACTTACAAAAAAAGTGCCGACCAGACTTCAGTTACACCTCTTCAAAATAACCTTTTCAATATACAGTAGTATTGTAAATAAAGGAAGCTGCTGGACTCACTGCAGTAGTATTTGCACAGAACTTTTGTGGCATTTCTGCATAGAATCATGGAATGGTTTGGGTTGGAAAAGACTTTAAAGACCATCTTTTTCCAAACACCCCCCACCATGGGCAGACATCTTTTACTAGACCAGGTTGCTCCAAGCCCCATCCAACCTGGCCTTGAACACCTTCAGGGATGGGCATCCACAGCTTCTCTGGGCAACTGTGCCAGGGCCTCACCACCCTCGCTGTAAAAAATTTCTTCCTAATATCTAATCCAAACCTGCCCTCTCCCAGTTTAAAGCCACTACCTGTGTAATGTCATGTCCAATCTAAAATTACTGCACTCAGCTGCACCTCCCAGTCCACCTTCTACCGCCGTCCTCTCATCTCAGCTTCCATAAGGTCTATCCACTGCATCTCGCTATCACATCGTTCTTTACTTAAAATAAAAAGACATCCAAGGAAAGCATTTCTTCCCTCATGCTGTCCAAACAAGATTCTGTGTTAAAACCAAAACCTGACAGAAGTTTGTCCCAAGAACTGCTGGTTTTGATTTCTTTTTAGATTTATTGAAATTTTGACATATCTACTGATCTACTTTCCCTGAGTCTCGGATTCTGTTCTGTCAGACTACTCCATACCTATTGCAAGAGTCATACTGTCCTTCTGAGCTACATGCTGAGGCTCTTCTCCAAGTATAACCTGTTTTTCGGGCAGACGTCTGTTAAACAGCCAATGGAGCCTCGTTGTCAGGAATTAAAGAAGTGTATGTGCACGTGTGGTACACGTGTGTATGTACATACAGACAGGTATGACTATAAGCTAAGGACAACAACGTTGGGTGCAGTTCCTTTCCCAGCCATCCCCACAACTGCATTCCCAGCTGACATATTAAGAACTGAAACCGTGAGAAGCAGATAAAGATGGTATTTATCACTTGAAGAGTCAAATCGGAGGCAATTCAAGAAAACCTATGAAATGTAACTGTACAACAATGCCTTTCTTTTTCCAGTTCCCTGGAGTTACTATATTAACTTAGACGTGAGGACACACTTTCAGACATTCGTAACTTTATACACATGCCAACATTCACGGGCCAACACGTCCTTAAGGCCGGTACCAAACACACACGGACGCGGGTTCAGCAGGCGGATGGCTCCATGCGGGGCCGGGCTGCAGCGGCGCTCGGGAGGGACAGTCCCCGGCAGGCGATGGTCGCGGTGACTCCGTTCCCGGCTCCATCTCCATCGGCGGGCGGCGCTCGGGCTGCGAGGCGGGACCCGGACACGGCGCCAGGGGAGCGCTGCGGCTCACACGGCCCCCTCAGGGCCTCTTGCCAGCCGTGGCTGCCGGCGGCGGCCCCGCGGTGCCCTCGGGCGTGTGCGGGCCCGGGGGCGGCTGGAAGAGCGGGCCGTAGATGTAGAGCCCGCTGGCCACGCCGAGCGCCACGGCCACGGCCACGTGCTGCGGCGGCAGCCGCCCCCACATGGCCCGGCGGTGCTCACGGACACGCTGCCGGGGCGCCGCGGCGGCTCCTCCGGCCCGGGGACCGCGGGGAGCACGGGGACAGCGAGCAGGCACGGGCAGCTCCGCCCCGGCACGGACACACACGGCGGCCCGCGGCCCTCACCTGAACCGCGGGACACCTCGGAGCGCCGGCCCCGCCGCCTGCGGTGACCGGACGGAAGTGGCCGCGCTGTCCCGCCCCCGGGTCGCGCATGCCCCGGCGGAGCGAGGCTCCCGCCCCGATGCCGGAGGCGGTGCGGCTCCGCAAGCGCTGCTCGGTGCTGTACAGCAACCCCGGCGGGGCCGCCGCGCAGCGAGGCGCCGGTAAGCGGGGCCGGGCCGGGCGGGGAGGGACGGGGCGCGGCCCCGGAGGGACCCGTGACGGACCGGCCTCCCCCCGCAGGTGTCGCCGCGCCCGCACCGCTGCTGGCGCTCTCCGTGGCTCTGCGGGCGCTCAACTGCGTCCTCGTCCGGACCAGCTTCGTCCCGGACGAGTACTGGCAGTCGCTGGAGGTGGCGCATCGCATGATCTTCAAATATCCTTCGCGGGCCGCGGCCTCCGCGCTCCCGGCATCGTTCCCCGCGGGACGGAGGGGACGCGGCCCCCGCGGTGCTGGGAGCGGGGGAGAGCTCGGGGACAGGTTTCCAGGCTCGGGGACAGGTTTCCGCGGCAGTGAAGTGTTGGCTTGACCAGCAGTAAATACCCCACCGCTTCTGGCCCGAAAGGAAATGTCTCGACCGGGACAGCTCGAGTGAAGCTTTTCGTTTCAATTGTTCGTGATCCTTAATATTCATAATTATGGTTACCTGACTTGGGAATGGGCAAATAGCTTAAGGGGTTACACGTACCCTCTGATCTTTGCAAGCATTTACAAAGCGTTACAGCTGCTGGGCAAGGATGATGTGCAGCTGCTGGTGAGTAAAAGCATTGCATTTAAACACAGAGTATTTTTATCATTGTCCAGGTGAAATGCAGAGCCTTGAATCTGGCAAGTAGAGATGAATGAGCACGTGTTTCCCGTGGAGGCAGAACTCACTCATAGATCCCCAGTCACAGCACTGATGCCTGCGACTGCAGGGGATTATTCTTGGCCTCCATCAATCTCCTGGAGTTTCAGACTGATAGGGTTTGCCACTGCATCATAATTGCTCAGTGGTTCAGTTTGCCTAAGCGTTTAACAACATATATTTGTACTAAACTCCCTAACAACAACTAACCAATACCAGCCTCTTTGGTTTCTATTGGAGATGAATGGCAAAGAATTCTACTTTCCATCTCTGAATGGTTTCAGTTGAACTTCAGATATTCTCTGTTTTGGTAGAAATACTAGTCCTACCCAAGGACCCTTTCTTTTTTAAAATCATAAAAATCTAGAGAGAATATTCACTAATCACTATTTTCATACCTGAACAGTCATTCACTAATTCAGTAGTCCTCTCTTAGAACCTGGAATTTAACTTGGTTTGTTGCGAGTACAGTTTTCTCTCTGCTTACACAGATCTGGGTCCCTAGGCTTGCTCAAGCAGTGCTGGCTGCTTTTGCTGATGTGAAGCTTTACTCGTTAGTACAACACCTTGAAAATGCAGAAACAGCAAAGTGTGTGGTGAGTCACAGCCTTTAACGAAATATGCATGTTAATAAACACTGGTTTTGCAATGTAAACAACAGCAAAGTGATAAGTCATACCTTGAAGAATTACCACCTTCATTTAGGTGAACTTGTTTTAACATGTTGTTCATAATTATTTCCAGTTCTTCTGCCAACTGTGTTCCTGGTTTACATGGTATTCCTGTACCAGAACTCTCACAAACACCATGGAAACTATTCTTACCATTTTTGCTCTTTCATACTATCCAATAAAAGGTTCCAAGATGGGAAACAGGTGAGAAACTTTCTCCTAACATTACTGATCAATTTTGGCTTGGGATGATATTGTTTAAAATGCTAACTTTTATCTTAAAATCTAAAGCAACCAAAGCCACCTCACTCATGTAGCAGGAGACCTAGCTCATGGAAGGAACATTATGGTATTTCCTCTAAAGATTTTTTTGAGGTCATGTTATAGCTTGTATGTAAAATTAAGTATTCCCCAGTTTCCTTATGCAAAGTATGACTTTATGGGAAGCTTTATTTTAAACGACTGGAATATGAGGTAACTTGGGAAAAAGTAACAAAAGCTTTGTTGGGGTTCAGATATAGGTGAATGTGTGGTCACAACTTTCTTTACCAGCCATCTGTTTTAAAGCAAGTATGTGCTTCTAATTAGCAGCTTAATTGCTAATAAAGCAATTCTATAGTTGCATCCTTCAAGTAAAACTGAGTATCTGCACTGAGAGAATCAAAGTTAACCGTAGTATGAAACCCTTTTGGCCAGAGACATGACAGTATTTCAGTTGTTGAAATGTCACTGTCTGTAAAAGAATTGACCAAACCTTTTGCCAAAGCTTCTGGGTTTTTTATGTTCTTCCTTCTAGTTGCAAATATTTAGCTTTGGTAGCACTTGCAATTGTTATTCGTCCCACTGCTGTTATCCCATGGATGCCTTTGGTCTTCAGTCATTTTTTGCAAGAACAGAGGAAAGGAGACCTTATCCTAAAAAACTGCATTCCAGTTGGGTAAGTTCTTTCTGAATTTAAACTGTGACTCTGCACAGCTACATTTTAAGATTGGTTTTACCACTGCAAAGGCAGACAACCCCAAAAAGCTGATTCCATCTAAAAAAACAAGGGAACAAACAGCATCTTTTTGCAAAAGAAGGGGCATGTTTCCTTTAAGTTGATTTATATTCTGCAAAATAGCACTAGGAAAGATTTCATGAGGGTGAGACAATGAACAGCACTCCACCTTAATCTGGGATTGTGCCAAGGATACCGGGTGATAACAAGTAGCCCCTGTAAAATAGCCACAAGTATGGACAATCTCAAAAATATTAGGAATCAGGGAGTTTTCACAACTATCTGGAGAAGATACAAAAGCAATTCAGGCAATATCAGTGCAACGAACTTTCCATTTTTGCAGATTGGTCACAGTAGGAACCTCT